TCAGTAGTTAGCATGCAAATATGAAGGCAAGCTGAACAATCTTATTACTGGGGAATACCTATCAAAGGGATTTTTTTACATATGTTCTGCTTTCATTTGAAGCAAGTACCCTATTTGCTAACTTAAATATATCAGAGTTTCTCTAGGAAAATATTCTTAATAGCAGCACATTGGAATTGATGTATAACATCTCTTAAGATATGTGCTCAGCTTCATTCTTCAAGCAAACAGCTTTTCAGCTTCTGCATCCGTCTGGCACATCAGTCGGAAAACAGAAATTGCTTTCTGTAGGAGAGCAGCGCTCTCCACTGGCCACACAGAAGACCTGCAGGGTTTTGTAGCGTTCTGGCAGTCTAGCTTTAACTGTGAGTTTCCTTGGTTAGACTTTTTTGATTAGTTAATACAAATGATTTTACACTTCAGACATATAACACTCACGAATTTTGTTTTGTGGCTTTCTCAGAGGCTTACCAATAAGTTATTTTTGTAATACCATGTTTGTGTAAGAAAAAAACAGCAAAAATGAGTGGATCTGTGAATAGGCAGTCATCTGTCTTTCTAGGAAAGTGCTTTAAAATCTGTTGGCATTGCAAAGCTTAGTTTAACTATCTTGATGCAGAGTAGATTATATTCCACCATGGCTGATGCATCAGCTGAACTAAGTTCCAGTTACACTGTTCCTTTCTAGTATGCAGTCTCTGAAGTTTTTCTCTTCTTAGCTTGGCGAGTAACAGTTTACCAGTTTAGAGGCATAACTGCTTCGGGCACCTGAGTTAGTGGGGGAGGTGATGGGTCTCTGAGGGCCAATTCTGAACTTCAGTGGGCTGACTGACCCAGGAAAAGGGTTCTTATTTCTGCAGAGGAAGCTTATGGGGACTGGTTTCTGATGCACTTTAGCTAAATATTTAAAGATAGGAAGAGTTTGGAGTTTAGACTAGAGCGCGTATGATCCTGAGTAACTAAAGAGCAGGACACCACATTTATTACTGAAAAGGTAGAGCTGCATTCAGATTTGTTGGCCATCTTCCTCAGAAAAAAGATTTGAAACAAAAGAAGGATTCCAGATGTCTCATCCAATGAATGTGATGATTGAAGTTCACACTGGGTTGGTTTGTTTTGTTGGTGATGTGTTGGTGGTGTTCATTGAAGTGGGGGCTTTTTTTTGGCCAGAAGGAGATCACCAATGAAAAATGCTCATTTCTCTGGCTTTCTGACAGGAGTGATCGTCACAGGAGCTGTCCTGTCTGCCGTCGCCAAGTAACTGGGGCAGGTGATTCTTGGGTGGTTTCAGATGCACCTACAGAGGATGATGTCGCTACTTACATCCTTAACATGGTAGATGAGGTGGGCCAGCCTCTCAGGCCCTGACACTGACCAACAAGCTGCCAAGAGTAGAAGTACTTGAAGCTTTTGTTGTCACGAACGTCTGGTTTTACCTCTTGTCGTTCATTTATAGTCTGTCTTAAGTCTTCTTGGCCACTGTGAATCTGCATTACTCTTGTAAGACATGTGGTATGTGAGCCAGTTTATGTGTTTGCAGTCCTAACGTGTACTTTCAGCGAAACCTTTAAACATTTACAGAGGTTATTTTAACAATAACTTTTGATCTTAACATTTTGACTACTAGATGAAGCTACTTGTCATAGCACAGCTGCAACTGCTAACTGCTGTTTGAGCATCACAGTGCACTGCTGCAAAAGATGCACCACACCAGATGGACTGACCTCACCGGACTCATCCTTAACAGCCATCCCTTTTAGATTCATGGCAAATATGAATGAAGATGAGCTAGGACTAGTTATTACTTACTTGGAATTCTGCTGCTGAAACTTGAAAGACAGCGTGCTATCTATTCTTCAGTTTGCCAATTACTACATCTTTTAGTGTTTACAGATTTAAAAAATAATAATTCTGTTTGATCTGCTACCAGTTTTAGAATTAATTATTTAAAATCTGTTTTGGAGGCTGCAGACATCTGTGTAAACGTACTTGTGCGTTTTCCTTTATTCTAACTAGGTAATCTCTTTTTCAATTTGATGTTTAGCATGGTCTCATTAGCTTGAAAACGTTAAACAGTTTCACAGACAATCCTAACAAAGGAAATCACTTCCTATATTTTTTGATCAGGAACAGCCAGAATTATTTTTAAGCATTAGGCATTTCTGAAGGAGTGACTTTATTCTAATTAGCAGTGAAGTTGTAGTTTAGCCTGGTGCTGTGGTATTATTTGCTTCCTGTGAGATTTCAAAGCAGTGAAGTGAGAAATACTAAGGATTGCAAGGTGATAATCTGACGTGCTGTGCTGTATCTCTACAAGTGCAATATGCTTTTGCGTGGCAGGGAGAATCTTCTACTTGGAGAACAGTTGTGTCACATGCCATGGCTTACATCGAGTTAGGCACGTGGAAAGGGACATCAAACTAGAGCACAGCAATGCATCTGTCTAGCAGAGTTGAACCTTAGAAGAGCTAAGAGACTCTAAAACAAATTGTCATCACTAGTATTCACAAGCCTTTTGGCTTCCATAACGTTGCGGAAACCAACCGCTATTGTGCAGAAGGAATACGTCTATTTTTGATATTAACAAAGACTACTCTTTTATCTTGAGGCTGTTGAGAGGGAAATACTCCAGTGTATCATTTTAGGGCATATCAGCATAAATGTTGCTTACTGTAAGACTGGCTCTTTGATTGCAATACTTGTTTAAATTTGATGACGCTGTAGGACTACGGCCTTTTGTCAGGGAATAACTCTCAACCAAAAGGCTTGTGCACACACAGATATGCATATTTAGGTTACTTGTTTTAATTGGCTGCTATAGAATAATTTAATCACGTCAGCCTCCAATTCTTGGGAATTTCTCTATTTTATTTCTCGCTAGCAGCATATGACACCCATTGGAGTACTCTTCTTGTATCATCTGAAAGCCAAGAGAGCAAAATGTGTAAATCTCTATTTAACTGTTTAAAAATTAATTTATGAATGTATATAGTTGAGAGTTATTATTTTCCTCTGTTAATCCTTTGATGTCAATGAGATATTCTTCAGAAAATGTATGGACTGCTTGGTTGGGCTGAAAACTAATAATGGTCAGGGATTTTCCACTAAAATATTTGCAAATATTCTTAATCGCGCACCAGTTTGGTTCCAGTTTGCTTTCTGAGCTTGCATTAATCTGTATTCAGAACACTGGAATTTTTAAGGTGTTTTTTATATTACTGGAACAGAGAAAGCATCTAAATATGCATCAAGCTAACTTTATTTTTCAAGTCTTTTGAAAATTATACTTCTGAACTGAGCTTTTATAAGCTAACTTACTGCTGAGAATTACATGAACTTATTACAATGTAATTTTGTAATTAATGCAGACAGATTACCTGTAGCATAATGACACTTGCCAGTACTATATAAAATGATGCAAAAATTAATCAAATAGTGAAAAGTAAACTTTGTATTCTGTACAGCTTTCTTAATTAAGTTGCTTATAAGTCACATGGCTGTGATGTAGGTAATGTGTGCCTTGTCAAATGTACTGTATGTTAGATGGGGCAGCAGATAGATACCATGACACTGAAAGCTCAGTAATGTGGTGCAGGCAGTGTTTCCTAGGCTGAAATATTACATCTAGCAAACAGTTCTAGAAAGGAGTCCCAGCAGCAGGGCATGGCAATGGGATCCGGGAGCTAGACCTTAAAATGGGAATCACTACAAAAACCTTCAGGTGGTGGTGGGGCATTGAAAGTGACATTTCTTCTACTGAAGTGAAGATTTCTTACAGATTTAAAGTGAAATTGTAATTTAAGCATTGTAGATTGTATTAATAGCTAAGGACATTTCAGTATATTAAAATTTGTGTATGAATTGTGCAATAAAGTTACTTTGAATGAAATATCATAGTCTCTCAAGCTTGAGGAACCTCTCAGCCTTGATAGCACACAAGTCTGTGTAAGTATGATCTCAATGCAGCCCCATCGTGCAGTTGGTATGGTTACATGTCTCTGTGAGTCTGAAGTTCTTGAACTTAGAGGTGTGGCATTACGAAGGTGGCTTACATGTATCTCAGCATACAGACACATCCTGATTTTTCTCTTCTTTTTCTCAATAGTTTTTTTCTCTAAATAAATAAATTGGAACATTCTGCAGTGATGGAGACAAGCAAACCTGTGCATCCCAGGACAACACCGAGCAGTTTTGGGGGGGAGAGGCTTTGTTTTTTAGGATACTATAATTTCCATTGTGTTTCTGATATTTTCACAGAATCACAGAATGGCCAGGGTTGGAAGGGACCTCAAGGATCATGAATCTCCAACCCCCCTGCCATAGGCAGGGCCACCAACCTCCCCATTTAATACCAGACCAGGCTGCCCAGGGCCCCATCCAACCTGCCCTTGAACACCTCTAGGGATGGGGCATCCACAGCCTCTCTGGACAGCCTGTGCCAGCACCTCACCGCTCTCCCTGTAAAGGTTTCATTTTAAAACTTAACAATGCTATTGTTGGAAAATTCTTACCGTATTTTTCCTGTTTGTTGTTTGTTTTGTTTTTCTGCAAGAATTGAAGTGTGTCATTAATGTGAACGTTTCCTCTGCCTAGTTACTAGGATTATCATCTTTGGAAGTCAGATGAGAAATTCAGTAACAGATGAGGAAATTAAAAATGTCAGAATTTACCACGTGACAGAGGCACCAAGAGGTAGGTGCACTTGAAGAATTAACAGTTCTATTTACTGTGTTTTAAGATGAGGCACCAAATCAATTTAACACACACGTTATTTTTGTAGATGTAAGTGGCGAATTTAATTTATATATCTTTCTTTTTGAAGGTCTGTATACAATTTTATATTCATCAGTTTTGGAAACAGCAGGCAGCCTCTGGAAGGTCTGTGCTCTAGGTTTAAAACACTTTGTGTCCCACCGAATCGTGGAACAGAAACCTTTGCAGAGTGTCTTAAAAATGTTAGAGCAGCTACAGTTTTATTGAGACGCATCCACACACACAGATCCTAATATATTCTTTATCATTTATTTGTGTGATGTTTTATGCTTCCACAAGAGCCAGTGATAAACATCATTTAACCTAGGCACAGGAGGAAAAAGCATTTTTTTACAGACTTCCCTCCCCACCTTTTTTCAGGTTGATATGTTAACTCGGCAACAAGAATAGAAAGGTTTAGCCACAAGCGAAAAAGGGTCGTACACGAGAAGGTAAGACAGGTCTGGTGTGAGGAACAATCTGTGTTACCCACTAGAAGAGTAAGAGCCTGAAGTTTGCTACAGTACTGTAAGAGAATGGAAGAGCATTGCTAAAAATGGCTCAAATTGGTAAGTTTTAAATATCAAGAAGCCATAATTAACCATTTTAGGTGAAAGTGTTAAATGCTCTGAGCTACTAGATTTAAGGAAGTCTTGAATAGCATTTGAATATTAACACTGGTGAAATGATGAGGAAATAGGATGCTCTGCCGTTCTGAAGCATCCCTCCCACCCACCACCAAATCACCACCTTCAGCAATGCTCATCGAGTCCCTTTCTTTTTCTTCTGTGTAAGCAAAACAAACTGGGCTGTAGCCCAGTCAGATCTTAACGTGGTCTGGGAAATACAAGAACAGCAGTTTGCCCAATCTTGCACTTGAGTAAAAGTGTACGACAGTTAATTCAGATGACATTAACACTTCAACAGTGGATCTGTTTTTACATGCATATCCTAAGACTGCAAGGTTGTTTGAAACAGTCATTAGAACAAAACTGCAACTGAAAACAGCTCAAGTCCCAGAACTGACCCTGAGAATCAGTAACATCTGTGTAACTAAAAGATAATCAAAAAAGGGATGTAGCAATGGAAGCTTGGAAGGATATGGCTCTGTTTCCCTAAATATAACACTTAGCTCAATGTGTTGTTAAAAGCAGCAAACAGGGATGCACCAAAAGGAGAATTTGTGCTAATGGCCACTTGTTTGGTAGTTTGTTATTGTTAAAAAGCCAGATTACTCTAACAACAAAGATTTAAATTGTTCTGTTTTGTTAACTTTGGTTTTGCTTTATTGTTTGTTTTTGGGTTTTTTTGGTTGTTGTTTTTGTTTTTTTGAGAGAGCTACCAACACATTAGAACTTGATGTTCTTGAGGTAAGGGAAATTGGAAAGGTATTAAACATCCAGGAGTTTGGTATAGTGTCAAAAAAAGCTAGGAAATATAAATGACAAACAAGAGACACACTAAAGGCAATCCACAGGTGTAACAGCCCAAGTAAAGCAATGGTTGTGAGATCAAAAATACCTAAAAGTAGAATTCTCAAAAGCATGTTACTTACTCAGACTGGATAAAGGTACTGAGGTAAATAACACTTTGTATAGAAACTTATTAGGAAGCTGTACTAATGAAGAGAACTCTTCTAACTCTTCTCCATTTTATGTAGTCAAAAGGTTGGAACCACTCTTCAGGCCATTGGAAGAAAACTCAGATCCTGACAATGCATTATGTCAGCTGCTAAAATCTCTTAACAGTGAGGCCAATGGATGTAGCTGACTATAACCTTAGAACAACTTAATGTTACACAGTTGAGCCAGTATAGCACTGGTTCACAGGATTGAAGCTGCACTAGGAGTGTCAAAAATGGCACTAGTTGAACACTGCAGACATTAAGCTAGATGGCTGAAGAGCTGACAGCGAGTCGCCCACCGTCTGTCTGCAGCCTTGTTTTGGATCAGAATTCCTCGTCTAGCCTTGTGAGTGCTGCAACTCCCTGGATGGCCAGAAGTCTGTTCCTGTGCTCCAGGGCTCCCTGTAGAAGCCCTACTTCGGGCTATTTCCTAAGGTCTTTTTTCAGGTTAATTTCTTATGGGGCTCTTCCGTGGCTGCACAGCTGTAGGTGATAACAGGGAATTCTTCCTTCATGCAACCACCATTCAGGACGGCAGGTGCATTAGAAATTGTCCTTGAAGGTACTGCTTTCCACTCCTGCAGCCTGAGGAGAGTGCTTGTTTCAATAAATACCTATGTTTATGCCATCACTGAGGTGTCTGGTACTGGTGATATCACCAGTGCTCCTTCCTTCTGCGTTTACAAGGGGAAGTGAGACCTGGTCAACTTCAGAAAGGATGGGTGTAGGTATCCAGGACAAGGGCCTGGCCTAAGAAACCGAAGTGGCATGAAACTTAATTGGCTAGCATTTGTTAAAATGTTATTTACACTTTAATTCTGCATTTATTCTGTTCTAAGACTCGTAACCTCTCTGCAGGTCTCTCTGTAGGCTCACCATCCTGTCTTAGGGACTATAGGCCTTCAGATTAATTACTTCTGTTTTGGACTTACAGGCATTGGCACTCTCTCTCTGCTTATCCATAAGCCTTCAAGTCTTTCTTTCTTTTTCTGCACAAAGCTACCTACAGTTCCTACAAAATGAAGATACTATGTGATATTTATTACCTTTATTCCTTTCTGAGTGAAGTAATACTTTGTCTTAAGAAGGTTATTCGAATTGGGGGGGGGGGGGGGAAGACGTACAATAGTTATATTTTACTATCTGCTCCATCATAAATAAAAAGTTTTAACATACAATGACTAAAAATTACCTAGCTAGCTTCTGTATAAATAGACAGTTTGTGACTTCTCGTTCATCTCTGTAATTGACTAAAATACAAACTAACACAAATTGGTAAAAAGACATCAGAAGTAGGACCAGAACCCAGGTCTGGAGTTTCTACTGCTGATTCATAAGAACACTTCCTTTGTTCAAGTAAAAAAAACTCTCTTTACATGCAACCAGCATTATCTCATAAGTTTCCAAATAATTTGAATTGGCAAACCAACATACTCTGATTAAAAAGCAATAAAAACATGTTCTTAACCTACAATGCAGAGCTTTCATAATGTAATTACACTTGTTATTACAGTGTACAATAGTGATAATTTTGACACTGTGTTTTGTACATATTAAGATTAAAAACATTTAGTCTGCTGTTATTTGCAGCCATCCCACATGACAACAGGAAGTAATTAAATGGTCATTAAATGTGACTACTATATTTTGAGCTTTCTTGTTTTCCAGTTTAACTGCTGAAATGTTAAGGTAAGAATCATGAATGAGGGGGCAGCCTCAAAATTACACACCCTATACAATCTGCTGTCGAATAAAGGGTTAAACTTCCCAGTGGTAAATGCCATGATTGCTATGAGACTAGCAGGACAAAAATTGGGTGCGTGCGTTCTTTCAGCATCCGCAGTATCCTAAAATGCATCTCATGGATGCATTATGGATACTCTGTATAGTTTTGCAAGCTACAATATAGTGCACATTTAAGACACTATGAAACAAATAATACATGATTCTTAGTTTGCATATAATATTTACAGCAGTCTTACAAAGCCTACTGTTTGTAGAAACTGACATTTTTGCAATGAGAATAACACAGTAAAAGATAACAGCAAATGCTGTTTAGCTCCCATACTCTGTTTTTGTCCATGTTGTTCAGGTATTTCTCGGTAGCATCAACAGCAGATGATTCGATACTATTTAGCGTCCCATTCTGCTTGGGAGTGAAATGCTGTGGTTTATTTGAGCTTGTAACTACTATGACAATGTTGAAATCTCATCTGTTCTCATAGCATCAGACAGGAAACTAAGTTCATTGCACAGCGTCTCGTACCTGAAGGCCATCCGGATCTGTGCAACATTTGTCTTTCGAATGTCATTTCCCTCTGGCCCTTCTTTACAGTAGTTAACCCCTAAGAATTTCTGTTTTTCCTGTGAACAGGATTAAAGGAGGAAGTCAGTTCAAATGCTCTGGTTTATTACATAACTGAATATCTAGTTGAAGCAAGTGAACAGAGCAACTTTAACCAGCTGGCCATTGGCCTTTACATCAGGGTCTTAATCACCTCTGGAGATTTTAAGGTCTATATAAGTTCTTGTGCTAGCATTTAGTCTTTTCTACTGAATCTTTCAAAGGAGAGGTCAAAAAAGAGACTTGGGTTTCTTTTGTTAGTTAGAAGTTTACTTGAGGAAAATCAGTAGTTGTCACTAGGGAACACTGCAAGAAACAAAACAACGTGCATGAAAAGCCCTCTTCCCATTTCTTGAAAGGAATGCTTGAAAAGGGCTCAGAAGAGAGGATGCTCTACAATAAATCTTAGCGTGCAGTGGACTCGTAGGAAATAAAATAACGTAATATGACTACATACCTAAATATAACACTTTTTGTAGTAGTTCTTGCTAGCTAAAAGCATGTCATGCTTAATTACAGGCAGATTATTTTTACTTATTGCAAGACATAAAATTACTGGCAGAGGGATATTATCCAAAGGATTAAAGATTTGGGAGCGGAGGGAGAAATGAGTAAAAACAGGCACCTAGTCTCTGCACATTTGGGGAATTCCAAACTAAAGCTAACGAGGAAAATGTAAAAAGAAGATAGGGATGCGTGCAGATATGTCACATAAAGACCTACTTTCCAATTTTCAGACTGCTGGCTTCTCTCTTTTTACTCGCCCTAACATTCACCAAAAAGGAAAGCTTCTCAGCCCCAATTACCTTATCAGACAATCCACTCTGCAGCACGCTGTTTCTTGCTATTTCACATAGGTCACAGGTACTCAGTTTCCACACCTGGGCTGCAATAGCATATTCCTCCATGAGTGCTTCCTGTATCACCAAAATATGTTTAGTATCAAATGATGTACAAATAAGGAGTAAACGTGGATATGTACTCATTACTAATTAAGGAATTTATACATGCTCTTTGGATAGCTGTGAAAACTTAGAGGCTTAAGACTTAACATTACTATTATTAATGACAAGGACCGTTCATTTCTAGTTTCCGAAGGGTGACTGAAATAATTCATAGATACTGGGTATCCAGTTATCTCTACCTAGGAAATTGCAGCCTGCATTCTGTATCATTACAAAGGAGATCTCAGGGTTTTCAGAAACCTTGGAGAACCCAGTCTTAAATCTTTAATGGACACATTATGTAGACAGACAGCAGGGCAATTTCTCACTTCTGACCTCCCCTACAAGAAGGGTGTTGGGTCTGACTCTAGAGGGCTGTCACAGCTGAGGAGGTCCACGCTACGTGTAAGTCAGGTGCCGTTCCATGCAGAAAGGCCCCCCAGAGCTCTCTGTGTTTTCTAACAAAGGCACGGGCAAGCCTGGGCAAAGCACACCAGAGCTTGGCTCATCCTCAGAACTCAGACACGAGCAATGGCTGCCCACTGTGAGGCACAGTGTGTATGATGTCAGTGCTGATCACAAAATCTAGGCATCGTGGCAAGCGGTGGCCAGGTATTTCTGTCCTGCCGGGCTACCCAAGGGCAGGAATCAATTTCAGTTCACCGAGCATACGGCTTATGTGATCTTCAGAGACTCCACGTGGTATTTTTGTAATGTACTTCCCCACATTTATTAGTAAGGAAACGACTTTCCTTGCACTCTAGAGGATTGTTTATGAAGGCTCAAACCTCCCTCCAGCCTCATCCTTCATTCTATACTTCAACAGCCAACACTGGAGAGGCAAGAGTACAAAAGAAACATAATTAGGAAATCAGACATTTCCCTATGAAACCTAATAGTGAATAGTAGACTGGGAATGAGGAAGAATAATGAATGTAGTGACTAAAAGATATGAAACTTTACATCCTAAGCAATTATATTAAAGATTTCAGGTCATTCTGGGCCTACATAGTACTACTGCCAATTTCAAAAGACAAGTGATTTCTGCAGTTCTTACCTTTGTGTAATGAAATTGCATAGGGTCATCTGTAGAGAGAGAGACGTGAAGTCCCTTATGTAGAAATTCCCGTAGTGGATTTTTTGAGTACTCCAGGAAGAGGCTGTTGTTACTAAGAGGAGACATGGCAATGGGAATTTGTGCAAGATAATAAAGATACTGCAAGACAGGACTCTGCAAAATAAAACACAATCAGCTGTTAGTGTTACTGCAGGATAGTGGGAAGGAAAAAAAAAAAAGATTTCCCTTGGAGAAAGTGGAATAACATGACAGAGGGAGGATGAAAAGCAAAATGTGTTACACTGACGCTGAATTTTTTCAGGTTTAAGTGTCTAAATTGTAAATTGTTACTGATCTTTACAGTAATAATTTACATTCTTCAAAATCATCTGCAGTCTTGCCTTTCAACATGAGCTGACTTTACTGTAGATTCAAAAGTGTAAATGACTAGTAAGAGTGCTGCATTTGATCCTAGCAGTGTATCCCCACCTCTCCCAAAAGCTGGAAGTCACAGTTAATAACAGACGTATCAGAACTGCTAAGCAATGTGTTATTTTCAAAACTGCAGCCCAACTTAAAGAGCTTAATTTAAATCTTGCATAGTCACCTCATGTTTACTCATTCCTGTTTTTGGCCTAACCAACCAGTGAACCTGTGTGCTATGCCACGTTATCCCACCAGGCTAAGCAGAAGTCAATGGGAAAATACTCTGGGTCAGCTACTGCTTTACTTTTTGTCTGTCTCACTTTGGGAATCAGTGGTTCAGAGCTCTACATCAGACATGACTTCAGGCAAAACTTACGATAACTTTTTGAAAAGAATTGCAATAATCTCATTGCAAGCCTGCCAACCACTGACCAGTTATTTTAATTACAAAAAAAGTGGCCTGCAGATGAGGGTTTGTGTGATGGTTATTTACTGATACGCCAGCCATAGCGTTTGTCCTAGCTACAACAATCCAGTTGCATATAAAATATTACTAAGTTATATAGCTATGTTAAATTTTGTGATCAAGTGATCCAATTACTCTAGATACAAATAATCACAGACTTAATGAACTTTTCCAGGAACAGCACTGCCAATTGCAAAATTCAAAGAAGCAGGAAGCTCTCCTGAGCTCACTCCTTTCTAATCAAAGTGAAGAGTTCTTGTGCCATGCTAAGAAAGTTAATGTTTGGCTGTCTAGATAAAGCTAACTTGGTGACTGCTATAAGCAGACAGTGATCAGTTTAGATGAGCATGCAAGCAGTACCTTCTTCAAGAGCAGTCCATGAGAAATGTTGTCTGCTGTCAGAAAGGCTGACACAAGATGTGTGATAGACCCAGCTTCTCCACAGTGAGGTCGAAACAGGAAAGTACACATGCCTCTTTCCCTGAGGAAATGAAAAGCAAGTCCCACTTAAAAGAAATTTATTGTACTTCACCGGATATGCAGATAATTATCATTAATGCAGGAAATTAAACAAAAATATACACTACAGTGTATTGTGATATCTCATCATGCCTAGATACCAGCCTAATGAGCTGCTATCTAATACAGCAGGTCCCTCTACCCAAGCCCCTTCCATCACCTGATGTATTTGTGTTTCTTGATTACTTTCCCAGTTAATCTCTCGTAGCCATGTGTTCACTATTGGGTGAACACCTACTGAACTGACTGCAGTCCAGGGAACTGGCAGATGGAAAGCTAAGTGAACCGATGGCGGCCTTTGGCTGCAAAATAGCTACATTAAAAAAAAAAAGAAATCCAAGGAAGAATGAGAAGCTTATTGCCAAAAGTAACTAACACTTCCCAGTGTGATGTCAACCTGCCACCTCACAAAGTTTGGTGTAATATAAAACCGTACCCTCAGTAGCATAGAGATGATCTAGGAGTGTCAGTTACCATTCTAGACACTACAATTTCTATAAATCTTTAATTTGTTTATACAGTGTCCAGCAATCTTCAGAGGTGTTCAAAACTGAATTTCAACAAGGACTGCTAGATTATAAAGCAAATTGAGGAGGTATGCTCACTAATGTTTCACCTAAAAGAGGATCGGAGGATGTAATCCATCCTTGCTGATTTTGTTAATATTACCAGAACTGTAAACCAGAGCTCCAACGGATTGGCTGTAATGGCTCAAATACTTGGTCTGTTCAACAGGTTGAACGGTTCTACTGACTCATTGATGAGAGTTTCAGTTTCTCACCTAGCTGAAAAGATGATTTTATGATTACCTAGGGAGATTTTCAAACAGTTGTTGAAATGATTTGGAGGTAAAAAACAAATGCGTAAGTTCTGCCAGATCTCTGTTTTGGAAAGAAAAAAAAAAAGTATACACTAAAGAGAACGTAGGGCAAGCAGGAGGAAGGAATGACAATTTTAGTTCTGTAAAGGAAAAGGCACAACTCAACAGATATCTAACAAGGCCTCTCTCAAGTACAAGGCAGACTAAGGTGGTTGTTTCATTAAAAGCTTTCATTACATAGGGTGGTAGAGAAAAAAATGCTTCAGGTAGCTGTGGGAGAGGAGAAATAAAATCTGGTTGGAAAAATTTAAATAAGGAAAATTTCTGACAACTTCTGCACCTCGTTTGAGAAAATGCAGAACATGTTATAAATAATGAACCAAAATCCTTGCAAGTTAAGTGAAATGTCAACGGATAACTTCACTGTGCCACAGTTTTGAGTCAGTTCTGCAGATCACTCAGCAAGTCAACTATAAAGTCAGGAACATAACCTCAGGTTGAATTTCAGGCTTCACTGATCCAATGCCAAAATTTGTTTCACAGTCATGATTTCATATTGACTATGATACATCTCCACATTACTTGCCTAGACATTGCTATCATTTGCTGAAACCAAATGAGTCAGCAAGCGTCTTAAAGTCAGTTAGCTGGAAGTGTGGTTTATAATTATGGCTTCTTTAGTCTAACAACATTTCACAATGCAACTTTGTCCTCAAATCAAAAGGAGATAACAATTTACCAAGAGGTATGTTAGATCTGGAAATCCACTGTAACTCCGAGCCAACAAAGTCAGTTTTGTGGAGTTTCTAGTTTTGTTTGATATATTCAGACTTAAGAAATTCACAAAACAAAGATACGCACAGATACAAAATGAAAATATTAATCTGATGCCTTTACAGCTTCTGAGTGTTTCATTTGAGTTCAGTCTGCAGTTAACATTTTCAGAATAAATCAATGACATACTCCTCTTGGACTATTTAAAACTCCTCAAGCCAAACCACTGCTTGCAAAGATGTTCAAGCTAGTTACAAATCTGCATCAAGACCAAGATTACTAATTGATTTTTCTTTCTGGAAATGCGTAACAAAGAACAATGGCTACTTACTTCCTAAGGTTGTTTAGCAACATGATGTTGACATACATGTAATACAAGTAATAGCTATATGGGGGATTCTTCTCGCTAGTCCAGAGGTCAGGGGTAAGGCTTTTGTCAGAGAACATATGGCCACTATGCTTGGATTCATCATCAACACTGTCAAAGCCAGTCACCTGGTGGGAGAAGATTCACAGGAATTAGTGTTTCCTAGAAGCCAACTCTGATGTTTCTGCACAAAGCATATAGTCCTCTTTTTTTCCTTCATCATCCTAGCTAGACATCCTCTCGTTCTGCCCTCCTACCATATCATGCAGACAGTGGGAATCGCGTTTTCTCCGTAGCATCACCCTAAGAGCAACACTTGCTCCAGAAACTTGTCTTAGGATGAAGCAGGCTATGCAGAAGTACAGGCTCACAAGAAGCATGAACATGGCACGTTCCTCCTGTTCTGCAGGAAAATGAGCAAACAGCAAAAAAGAAGTCCTGCCATTGATGCTACACTGTTCTGAAGTGCCCCAGTGTTAACAGAGAAGAACAGTCAGAGGAGGAGGAGAAAAGAGAAGGAAATTCCTAAGGAAGCTTCCTGCATTTTCTGAAACAGACAAGAAGCCCTGAAGCTCAAAAAGCCTTTAACAAGGCCTTTCAAATTCACATAGATACACTTCATAATTCTTCAAACTCATCTGCTCTCTAATTTGGAAAGCAGCAGAAGGCCTGAAACTCCCAAGATATCTTAAGTTCTGGGGTGCATTCAGAAATGTCTCTCTTAATTAAGTCCCAGCAGCTACATCCCAACATCTCTCTACAGTCATTTCCCTTCAGTTGCTTCATTTTTGGAGGCGAGTCCCAGATGCAAGCTGAAGGTATGTATCCCAGGTTAAGGTGTTCCCTCTGCACAAAAGCACGTGAACGCTTTAGACATTCTGGGAAGACAAATAAATAGCTGTTGAGTTGCTTTAAAACAACACTGGGTGTACTAACAAGGTGAAAGGTTCTTTCACTGTCTGGCAACAGCTGTGTTGAATAGCACAGGACCTAAGACAGAAAATGCAAGCATACTTACATATTTGAGGAAAAGATGTAATTCTTTGTGGTCTTTGGGATTGATTGTTGCTTCAAACAAAGGCACAAAAATGTTCTCTAACATCTTTCCAAAACTAGGCAGAATATTCTTTGACCTAAATATATCACTGAAGGGGGAAAAATACACAGTTGTGACTGTTCTGTCATCAGCTTCTATTTTTCCTCAGTTTTCACATTTCCTTTTATTTCTGTTTATACGCTAGTGCTTCAGTTCAGCCAGGACTGAGTAATCTAAAGTTTATATCAGGGCAGGAACTGTCTCTGTGCTCTGTTCCCTGCATTGCCTGATACTCTGCTTCATCCAGGCTCAGCTGAGGCTCCCAAGTGCTCCAAAAACAGAGACAGTACGCAGTGGTAAGTGCCGTCTCAAGAAGAATGGCACCTTCTCTTACAGCAATTCAAGATTGCAAGAGGACAAAAAGAATCACCCCTCACAAGGGTCTGTTTTCCAAAGGTGTAACCTACTCTAAATGAAAGTAAAACTTTTTGGTTTAGTGAGGCTTTCACAAAAGAGAGGCAGTATTTCAGTATGTCATTAAGTGCACGACGTTATGGGCGTGCTGACTCCACTTCATGCATAGGAAATTGCTACGTAAGAAATTTTCCCACTGATGAGAAATGCGCTCAGATTTATGCAACCATGGCAGCACTTTCTCTACTCATATTCCAGCTGTGCATTTTCAAAACATGAAGTTCAGCCATTAAGGCTAACAAAATTATCATGGGAGTCTATATTAGCTACAATATACAGTATTGGAAGCACAGGTCTTTTCATAAAGGACATAAAGTCCCAACAGATGCTTAAAAACTAGTAAGTACTGGTATCAGTTACAGCTTGCAAATGGTGACAGTCCAGGTTGTGTTTCTAAGTTCACTGTCATTTAGACACCAATCTGAAGGAAGTTGGATAATAATGATTTTGCAGAGCATTTCCTACTTCCTTGTGAAACTCGAGAGTTGATTTATTTTAACTACAGAGTTGCATTTTACCTTGCCTTTGAATGCAGCTCAATTTCGTCCAGTTGTGATTTTTTGGTTTTCGTATTTTCAAATTTCAAAGCACTTCACAGCTGAATAAAGAGTACATTTAAACTCCATCTCCTCCTCCACCCCCAGACTGTCAGAACTGCAGCAGTGGTCAAGAATAAATTATCCAGGCTGCTGTTTATAAATAGAACTGTGGGACAGCTTATAAGCCATCTAAAATGAGAAATATCTCATCTAATATCAGAAATTAAAACCAAATAATTCGGATGATTTCAAAGTCTTACAGTTACTAAGAGCTTCTGATTACTTACTAGATTCTGGGAACCTGAATTATCCAGCGCATATTAGGAGAGTAGACTTTATGTTTAATGAACCAGTTTGCCAAGCTCAGCCACTCATCTGGAGACCGTCCGTAGATGGATAATCGGGGTTCTGTGTACTGGTACTTACTTTCTTCTAGTTCACGGGCTACTTCCTATTGAACAATACATACATTTGCTTTAGCACAGATACAGAAAATCATTAATAGCCAGTAGTATATTTATCATCATATTTTCTGCACATCAGGCATAACTCTATGCTATTATCTTTTTATTTTTTAATTATTTCTTGGAAGGGGGGGGAGGAAGGGGAATATGTAAATCTTCTGCCAGATTGCTATTTAAGAATAACTAACTGTACCACTTCCAGTTAGATGACAATATTCTTGTGCTATAAATACTAATATTTTAAGACCTCTGTTTAAAATTGACCAATCGGAACGAAACTACTTTATACTGTAGTAAATGACAGCATAAAATATGCAGAACAATGGAGAGTCTGACCCAGAATACATGTTAGTAACTAATTCTAAGGCTGTTAATTTTAGACAGGCATTTTTGTCAATCTATGAGTAGTTGGTGTCTGGTTCATGCTAACTATACTAACTGTGCTAACTCTTGTATTGCAAGAAGCAAATTTGGAGCCAGTGCATGTGCAGAAACAGATTTATGTCAAGGCATTTTCCTAGGTCCTCCTTCCCTAACAACTAACACCAGGCAACTGCATCGTAACAAAACATTAAGCCAGTGATTTCAGCCTTGGCTGCTTTCCGTTAGCTTGAAAGCACATGCTCTGCTTTGAAGTTAAATGAGGTTAGAGCTCATACAGTTGTATACAAGCAGCAGTGGCTGACTTGGCAGAGGTCTTTTTCTGATCCACTGCTGGAACAAACACAATACTTGGGAATCACTTAACCACAGTTCTGACCCTAGATACAGTTACAGCATCAGGAATCTTCTAGAAAACCTCATTTCTGTACAGCTGGGAAAACCAGAGAATGATTTACCTTGACCATACGAGCAAAATATTCTCCACCAATGTAGTTCTCGGTTTTCAAATACAAGTCCCTCAGCTCACTGGCACCAACTGGATTGTACTTGGAATTGAATTTGTCAAATCGATGGAATGTTTGACGACCCTATAGGAAGGAAAAAACCCACAATAATTACAGAAATTAAATATACAGATAGTTTGTACATAAAATTGCCTAGCAAGAACGTGCACAAAGAAGCAGCAGCTTGTGCTAAGTCACTTCAAGCGTGTGAAGTAATGCACAAGCTCAAATTCTGAAAAAACTGCAGAAACCAGCATTTCACATGTAGAAATCATAGATTTCTCTTTTATTTTTGTGTCTTACTTACTGCATGGACATCTAAAGAGTCTACAGTGAGGTCATATGGATCCATGTGAAGGCTTTCAAAGACTTGCTTTAAGGTCATCTTCTTGCCTTTTTTCTCTGCAACAATCCTGTCTGGCTCTGTTTGATACGTGTGCTTAATAAACCTCAGTAAGTGTTTCTGGTTCATGCAAGCAGCAGCATGGATATGAGTATCAACCTGAAATCAAAACAAGGTTAACTGCACTCCTTGTCCATCGACTCAAACAAACTTTGTGAATTTGTTGGTGTCAGAGGCAATGATGAATACGCAATACTTCCTTCAACCCTGATCCTTCAGTATCCTTCGTCAGTGAATCAGTTCTGCCTGTATAGTTAGAGACTGTCATTGTAACTGTTCTCTGTGACTGAAAGCACTTGGAAGTCTCAGCTACTTCCAAAAGCACAAGTCATTTTGGTATTTCAACCACATGAAATATCTCAGATCACTACAAGTGTAATATATGCAACAAGAGATTCTGGCACTATTTTTCCATGTTTAATCATAATATGGCAACTTATAATACTGACAGATTTTTCAGTTCCTTCAGGTCTGTTTACACACTGAGGGAAGTGCAAGCTTCACAGAAGGGCCAAGAGCACTCTTTCAGGTCCTTTTTTTTTTGCCCTGGAATTCTTATTAAAAAAATAAAATAAAATAAATAGCTTTCACAGGTCTCTGTTCTTTTGTGTAAAAGCCTGAACTGCAATCTTGTATTTTGTGTCTTCTTCCTCTTGTGCCTATTACAGACCATCAAGTAAAGAATCAAAAGCGTCACCTAAAAGGTTGATACATCTTCTCTGAAAAGCTAACCCAGCACAAACACATCAGTGAGCTGGGAATCCAGTGGGATGTACATTAGGAGTGTGCCTCATCTTGTGTGCTTTGAGACAGGCCTGTTTCTTGCTTTGTTTCATGGAGCTGTAAAGCACCCGGCATCTTTGAACTGGGCAATAATTAACAATTAAATGTTAATCCTTGTACATACTCATTCCTTGTATCAGGGCATATTCATTGTATGTCCTGGTTTATAGCTATGCTATTGACATACACCTGGAAAAATTTAACTTTATAAGGCTGCAACACCTGTGTTATAGTAGACTGTAGTTTGAACAACTGCATATATTTTGAATAAAAATTCCACTTCAAATTAAAAATACAGATATATCTAAATACACATTCAACAACAGAAAGATCTTGCAAACTGACCTGATTTTTCACGCTGCAGTCAGTACCTGGTTTAAAATATAAGTTTGCAAAAAGCACAGAAAAGCTCCTGGCAGCTGAAATAGTTCCTAGAGCAGAGCCCCTGCAGGAGCTTGTCTAATTCATGCTTGTGCCATCTGGAACAACCTGAAAGCCAGGAGACACAGGAGATTTGAATCCCTGTGTCTCCAGCTTCTGTTTTGGCTGTACTCATTATAAAATGCACAGAATCAAGCCCTGTAGCATTCGTATTCATGTGAATACAGAAACAAATTGGTATGGAGAAGGAAATAAGTAGTATGCACAGTGCTTTGGAAATACAAAATACTGTTTTGCCGATTAACATGTGTAGGGCACCAGTACACCTAATGCTAACATTGCAGCAGAGGGGAACAGAAGTATTCTCTTTTGAATCTGATGTTAACCCACAGGACTTCCTTCCTATTCACTATAACTTTTAGCTTGTATGTTGAAAGAATATTGTGACCAAAGTCAGAAAGCAGTTATTGAAAACAAAAGCAACCTCTAAATGAATCAAAGTTCACGCAATTTATGATATAGATTGGCTGTTCACTCACCAGGCTTTTAATTGTATGTCTTAAAGGCAGGCATTTGTCAGTCCTGCTCTGTAGGTTTACTTCATTCAGTTTGTTGGGAGATCCACTACACAAAGGCTAACATTCAGTTTTAAGTTGTGATGCTGTGGAGCTAAACTTACTACTTTATTTTACCCTCAATGCAGGCAACTCAGGAGTTACGTGGCAAGTCAGTGTGGCTGTCCTTAGCTATGCATCAGTTGCACAGTGTGGGAGGGCCTTGCTAATAGCCGACTCCAGAGTTTTCTCTAAAGTTAGCCTACTCCTACACAGCCAGTTGTCCACCTCCCCTGGAGAGCCAAGCAGAGCCAGCCACTGTCCTACCACCTGTGGACTCCCATCTGTGTACGGAAATACTTGTTTGGTTATTAAAGGGTAATTTTCCAGATATGCACATACATTTCACTTATTTAAAAGGAACTTTATCTTGGGACTAATGAACTCAATGAGCTCTATGGAGAATTCTCATTAAACTAGAAAAAAAAAAGGGGGGGGGGGGGGGAAGAGTGAGGGTCACAAAGACGGGAATATAACAGCAAATTCTGTCAGCAAATAATGCTGGCCAGATTTTTAAACACTGTGATATGTGCTCACTGATTGACCTTGCCACTATATTCATGGTTATTTTCATTTTGGCACTTTCCATCAGGTACTTTAGCTTCGTCATATAAGCAAAAAGATTGCACCAGCATTTCCAGACTAGTAGTAGCCTGAGGGAAGTAGTAGACAACTTCATCTTTTTTGGGAGGTGAATATTATTTCTTGCTTTCTTTATGCATTTGCATTGAATAGGACTGAAAGGGAGAGATCCTGCAAATACTGGCCCTAGCAGTCTGTTTCACACTGTAAGATTCATTGTTGATACTGTTACTACTGAAGAAGGACTTCTGGTGAGCTACAGATCCAAAGATGCTACTGTGGTTAGCAAGACGTTAGGAAAATGAGTTTATTTTGGAGTTTAGAGAAACTCTGCCTACACTGCAGTTTACTTGCCACAGAAAGTGCTTTGTAAAATACTACTTCTAATGCTTTCTAAAATACTACTTCTAACGGCTTAAGGGTTTAAGCAAGATTAACTCTCTGCTGCAAGAACTTCATAAGCAGTAATTAGCAGGACTCTGCCACAGGAGAACAAGCTTGTTCCTCTTTTCTTGAATTAGAATATTGCCAGAGAGGAAGCAGTACACATTTTATGCTTTTGAACAGCATTAATTCATTTGTAAACTGGCTTACTCACTAGAAGGTAATTGGAAAGTAACTATATGCCCAGAGACATTGAACGACTGCTTTTAAAAATTGAACTGAGCAAGTACAGTCCTGTCAAGTACAGCTTCTCAGTATTCCATTTGATTGTCCAGGCAGTTATCTGATCCCCGTACTTGTCCATCATACTCCTCAGTCACAATGATTTTTATTATTAACACCTCAATCAGCTAGACGAGTTTGTTATCTGAGTGTGGTTACAGAGTAGATATCTTGGTCAGGGTTACACAAGAAACCTGTTATCAAATTCAGAATTGAACCTCAGCTTCTTGAGAACTGTTTGAGAGAAATAGCTAGCTAATAGATCCTCCCATCCATATGCTTAACAGATAGAAGCACAAAATTCAAATTTATCTAACAACCCATCTGCATCTAGCTTTGTGAGAGACCATCAGATAGTTGTGCTTTGCTGTGTTTGCTAGTTATTACTACAACAGTAGCAAACATTCAACAGTCAGAATGCTAATGGGAGAAGCCAAGCTGACTTTTTGATGCACTAGGAAATCAAAATGTAACAAGATAAAAGTATTGTTGACCCAAACTCCACAGTTACAAAACAATCACAACATCTTTGCACAAAGACACAATGCCAAATAGACCTGAAATGATTAAAAACACCAGCAGCAATTACCACTTTGTGAAGAAATCTTGCCTATGGGAATGAAATGTTTTCTCTCTCAATTAGCTTGCTTTTAAAATGAAGAAAGGGAAGCAAACTAAGCAGCCTAACAGTGCTGTGCTTTTGAGGGAATGAAGCTCCCTTTGCTATGTGTCAAGAAATAAAACTACCTCCTTGATTCCCCTACCTGTCTGCTAATTACATCCCAGTGCTTCTCAGATGCAGCTCAGAATACAAGCCTTTTTTTTTTTTTTTTTGGCAGAGTTATTTATTAAACCAGGTTCTGATGGCAGCATGAAACATCAGTTCAGTTTGTAAGATCTTTTTGTTGTTGAATGTGTATTTAAACACATCTGTACTTTCAATTTGAAGTTAAATTTTTATTCAAAATAGAAGCAGCTGTTCAAACTGCAGTAATTTATCTGCATGAAAACAGCCCAATGCACTTGAGCCATCTGTAAGTGAATTCATCAAACTGAATTAGGACTCCAGGTGGATATTTTTGTTCACAATGCATGTGAGCATAATTTGTTCAATAGTTTCACTCCTAAAAATGATGTACATACCATTAAGCCCCTGTGATTCTGAAAAAGGAAACAAGAGTTTAGAGTAATTGATTTAACCCACTTCCATTCAGGCAATTTTCCATGTCTTCCCAGGTAGTAAAAATGACATCATTCAACTCACTGCTATACACACACAACTGTGTGCTTCTCACCTATGCCTCACACACAAAAAAGCAAAATGGTTGGCATTCCTACTGAAAACAAGGCCACACCTCTAATCCTTTCCACACCTACCTTTCTCACGTTATAAAAGTCTCGATGGGGGTTACTCTTCAGTTCTTTAAACTCAGACATTTCGTTTAACATCTCGTGCAAACTAAATTTAGATTCTAAAAAGTTGAGCCGGCGATGGCAGTATGTTTTTCTGCAAAAGAAAACACAGCAGTTACTGACTTGGAACTACTTTGTATGCTGAGCTCAGATGGAACTTGAAAGTTTTCTAGTAAAAACAGATTATATTTTTAATGAAATCTAAGATGAGTTATTTCTTCTTTTCCTAATGGTTAACAAATGCATAAGTTAATATCCAGTATTTTTTCAGACCTAAGTTATTAATGAAACCTCTAATGAAACAGAACCAGGCTCGTTGCAGAGAAATTGGACTAGATGGCCTTTAGGTGTCTCTTCCAACAACTTGTGTAACAATGCTCTAATGTCCTTTAAGTTGTCCAATTAGCAGGGGGTTGGAACTAGACGATCTTAAAGGTCCCTTCCAACCCAAACCATTCTCTGGTTCTATGATTTTATACCCAATAGAGGAGATCACCTTGTATAAAACAGTAACACCCTGTATACACTTCACTGTGAAAATTAAGACTTTTATTTCCCAGTTTCCATCTGATTTTCAATGTGAATACAGGAAGCCAAGTAAAATTTAATATTGTTTCATTTCTGGTGCCTCAAAAACACATCTGTTGTGTAGCTATGGTACTTTTTCCTTTTTTTGCCCCCAAATTCTTCCAAGTGCTCTTCTGAAAAAAATAACTGCTTTTTTGTTCCTGGTTGCCTACTCCTCTTATTCTTCCAAAGCTTCTCTTTCAACTCCTGTTACGTTTTTCATTCTCTTTAACAAATGCCATGCTTTTTTCTCTTCACCATCTGTCAACTCATAAAATCTACAATATTTTAATAGTGCATTAGTGTAATAGCCTTCTTTTCTCTGCTTCATTGTTGGCAATCTCTCCTCAGCAGAATACAAATCCTGTAATGAACCTGAAAGTCCAATTCACAGTATTTTTGGGTCATACTATTATTCAAGAAACCAGAAATCTGAGGAGCAAGGGGTGAGATTTCACTACTTTAAGCACAGTGAAGATTAAAGAACAATGGATTCTTGATCTCCAAGCAGGTCCACATTTGTCAGACAAAAATGACAGGAAAGCACTTGCTACAAACAAGGAAATAAGTAGAGTATGAAAAGTTTATGCAACAGGATTACTGAAAAGACTTTTTTTCTTTTTGTTTGTATATACTTATCAGAGAAAGCGAATCAGCCTACAACCACTTAATCTGAAAAAGCAAAAGGAGCAGAAGATCACTCCTGCATTCATAGAGCTGCTGAGCTTTCTAACATGTTCTACAAAACTTCTTTCTTTTGGTTTGCTTATAAATATTGTTAACAATTGATGCAAAATAAGAGTTTTCAGTAAGTTTGAGTTTTTCCTCCTTGCCCTTTAGTTTTCCTTCTCTCTTGGAATACAGCACAGTGAATTTAGAAATGCATTTACCTATCTCAGACTGTAAAGAATTACACTCAAGCTAGCTTTGATCCGGAGCAGGATAAGAACAGCAAGAGCACAGGCTTTTCCTCTTTAGTAAGTGCTTGGGGAATGGGACAGTTCCGTTCAGATCAGCTGCTTTGCTAGCAGAAGTCAGGCAGATTACTCTGCATGTGTCAGACAAAATCTCCAATGGGGGAAAAAAAATGGCATCAGGTGTGACTAACTTGGCACATCATAAATAACTTTATTTCATAAAGGCAGGAGGAATAAAAATGCAGTACTGGCAGGCTGGGCAAACAGTCTGGAAGAACAGTCCAGGTTCCAGCTTTTTTCTGCCCTTGCATTGATTCTTTTCCTTTCCTAGTGTTGAGATTATAAAATACTAATACTTCCAGTCCTCAGCTAGGAAGTACACTTTTAAAACCTGGATGCACACACATTTTCCCTCTTCTCCGGGTAAGGACACTTGTTGGTTACAAGTGTTCCAGTGACACTAGCAGAGTTGTTTTCTTTCTGTTTTTTAGAGATTTCTTTGAGTTTGCAGGCTCAGGGAAGGGAAGTGTGACACCTCTTTTGAATGTGCATGCAATTTTGAAGCACGTGAGCAGTTAATGCACATCTGAAATAAATGGGACTGAGTATGTTGCCAAGCTGTTCTGTATGTTGTAATACATACACTGGATTTCTTTCCATGCAGGAAGAGCAGATCAGACATGAACGAATTCCAGGCAACTGCACAAAACCTCAAATTCAGTTTAGGCCAAAACAAAACAAAGGTGAGATTCACTTTCAGTTCCCATGCTTCAAGAAGTTTAGGTCACACTTCACTTGAATGGGAGCGTTTGGTCAATGTCTTGGCCTTCTGTTAACCTTAATACCCATGTAGTTCTAACCTCCCTCCATGGGCAGAGTCACCACCCACCAGCTCAGGCTGCCCAGGGCCCCATCCAACCTGGCCTTGAGCACCTCCAGGGATGGGGCACCCTCAGTTTCTTTGGGACACTGAATATGACTTTCACTACGGCCAAGTGTCAGGTCTTGCATTTTCGTCACAGCAACCCCAGGCAGCTCTACAGGCTTGGGGAGGAGGGGCTGGAAAGCTACCCTACAGAAAGGGACCTTGGTGTACCGGTGGACAGTTGGCTGAATATGAGCCAGCAGTGTGCCCAGGTGGCCAAGAAGGCCAATGGCATCCCTGGCTTATATCAGGAATGGTGTGGTGAACAGGACTAAGGAAGTCATCCTGCCCCTGTACTCAGCAGTGGTGAGCCCTCACCTCGAGTGCTGTGTTCAGTTTTGGGCACCTCAGTAGAGAAAGGACATTGGATCTGCTCCAGCACCTCAAAGAAAGGCAACAGGGCTTATGAAGAGCTTAGAGAATATGCCCTATGAGGAGAGACTGAAGGAACTGGGGATGTTTAGACTGAGGAAAAGAAGACTGAGGGGAGACCTTATTGCTCTCTTCAAATACGTGAAAGGTGCTCACAGCGAGAACGTTAGTTAATCTCACTGGTGACAGAATAAGGGGAAAATGGTCTCAAGTTCAGGCAGGGGAGGCTTAGGTTGGATATCAGGAGGAACTTTTTCACAGAAACGGTAGTTAAGCACTGGAATAGGCTGCCCAGGGAGGTGGTTGAGTCACCATCCCTGGACGTGTTTAAAATCTGTTTGGATGTGGTGCTCAGGGACATGATTTAGTGGAGGGTTGTTAGTTAGGTCATGGTTGGACTCAATGATCTTTAAAGGTCTCTTCCAACCTGAGCGATTCTATGACAGAAATTAGAAGTATTAAACTGAAGGGAACCAGCAGCTGTAAGGGGCAGAGAAGAAATAAAACAAAAAACGTACGTTGGACCATCTGCAATTAGAGCAAGAACGTGGCTCAAGTCAAGGGTATAGGTCTCCAGGTCAGGATAGGGCAGACTCCGAGGCTCATTGAGCTCCATCATTTCTTTGTTATCATAAACAAATGGAATGCCACCTTTTATCTTGACCACATAATCCAAATTGTTTGGAGCATCATCAAGATTGTAAGGATCTTCATTTTCTTCTGGGGGTGAATGAAAATCTGGAAATACATTTACATTATATTTACAAGTAACTCACACAAAAGGCTGAATAATGGGAAAGAGGACTTTCTGCTTCTATAACGTTTCAATTTTAGCAGATCTCAATACGTGCATTAAGATCATATTTTTGATTAGTACAGTAGGTCAGTTGTTACAATACAATTCTGTTGTGACAAGCTCACATTTAATTGCCATCTCCAAGCTATGTAAGTGGTCACCTTTATTAAGATGTTTCATTTCAATTATTAGAGTTCTCTAAACCAATATAGAAATAGATCTAATAGTAAAAAATTAATGTAGAGTGATGTAAGTTTCAAATTAAGTTTGTAGCAGCTGTTGACTTACACCCACATTCATTGTTTGTTTGTTTTTAACCTTCTGACTCACTGTAGTAATTTTGGAAGTTTATATTTAAGCACACAGTAATTCAGCTGTTCTCATATCGAAACATTAGCCAGAAAAGAACAGACTGCCCTTCCCATAATCCAGTGATGCAGACTAGTGCATGCATACCATGGTCACCTTCTCTTTCTCTCGATCATTAGTGAATATTTGTCACTCAGCAGAGAGCCAGAAGTAATTTAAGACTCAGCACTTCTCATTCTGACCAAGACAGTGGTGAGTTTGTTGTTTGGTTGTTTTTTCAACTAGAATTGCTTACTTTTACGTACAATAGGTTTTCCAAGAAAAAAAAAAAAAAAAAAAAAAGATGGAAGTGTAGTTTTCTCCCTGGCCTTCTGATCATAATTAGAATCAGAAAGTACCAGAAGCACAGTCAGGATTTTATTAGTACAGCTTTGTAATTCCTTATTTTATAAGTAAAATAAATCTCAGTTATTTATGTTAACTCAGCCATATCCTTGGACTTAATCCTTTTTACCTGTTCAAATAAATCAAGACCAAAAAGTAACCATCCACATTTACCCACCTAAGGCACACGAATATATGTTATAAGCTGATACTGTACATGTATTCCTAACTATCCAGCTCTAGCTCGTGCAAATTAAGATACTGTGAGAGGAGATTTTATTAATAATATTGTAAGTTTAAAATCGTAACTGTAAAGAACTTATTAACCTAATAATAGCTTGGAAATATTCCCCCCCAGCAGCTGTTCCGGGATATCCTTCCTGTCTTGAATATACAGTGTACTGTTCTTAACATTCTCTCTGTATTACACATGTTTGAAAATACTTTATTCTCTCTTCTTCTGACTACAGAACTACAGAGGGTAATTGATTTAAATGACTTAAAAGATCATTTCATGGCTGAGAATACATTACCAGCAACATGGATGTGTCTACAGTGGAAAGTCTGTACAGACCAAGGGTTGTTCCACACAGGCTAATCCAAAAATGCGCACTGTTTAATGTACAAGCAAAGCTTTCCTGACACACCCCAAAGTGACAAATATAACTTGTGACTTAAATAGTGGTGAATATGTCCTACCTAATAAGCCCCATTAAGAGATCAGAGTGTATTAACCCGGACAGACTGTCCATACATGTGACGATCCAGCTTCCAAACCTGACCTGGCAAGCGTGCCACATCTGTGAAATTACTGACTCAGGGCTTGCAAACTGGCATGTCTGTACCCTGCTTCAATTTACAACGTGGATGAGCTCATCATCCATTTTACTTCAGTACACCAAGATCAAAAGGAATGTTTTTCACTTGAAGCCACCTCCACATATCTTTTTTCCTGGAGGAACACGTGTACTACGTACCATCTCCTTCACTGGAAAAAACATCAATGATTGTTGTTTTTAGCTTTTAATAGTTTCAAAGTTTCAGATTAGATGCAGGCTTTATAATTAAAGTCCATCAGTTATTCTCTACCATTAACAGAATAAATTACAGAGGCAAAAATACTCAGCAGAGATTGTCACAAAAAACCAACTCACCTTTGATTACAGTTGTACATGGGCTTAATTCTCTGTTTTAAAAAAGAACAAAGATACTCACGTGGACACACTTCATCTTCAACCTTCCACTTCTCATGTTGCATGCTACACAGATACTGGGATGTCGTTCTTGGGAAGCGATGATATGCAAGGCGTGAATACTTTTCTCGAATGAGAAGAGCTTTCACCAGGCTCTTGGCAGCTTGCTCGTAATCATCAACTGTAACCTGAACAACAAGAACAAAAAAAGCTGCCTAAGTACTGACAAATAGAGTGGTGGTCTTGTTCACAAATGAGATCCATGCCAGTAGCAAGGAGACTGGATTTCCAGCAACACTGATGTATGCGACTTGATCCTGATGGTGGGTGCATGAAGACAGCGACAGACAGAATCCAAAGACAAAAAGCAAAACATACAAACATGCAAGATTTCTCTCCTCCCATGCATTCAGTGTCTGATCATGTTGTTATTTATTTATCAATTCAGCTTTTATAAAAAAAAAAAAAAAAAAAAAAAAAAAAGTATAATCAACTTTAAACAACGACTTCAAATATTCTACAAAACAATCTGCTCACAGAGCATTCTACGGTTTGTTCAGAGGTCCCTGATAGTGCTGTCATTTTGCACTGGACCGTGGTTTAGGATTTTTTTTGCCCAAGTTGCAGTAGAGAAAAAAATAGTTTCTTACCCCTGCACAGTAGTCCCCACTAATTGAAACTCTCTGAAACTCTGGTACATCATATGGCACCTGGACTGGCAGGAAAGCATGTTGAAGAACTGGTGTTGTAGGAGACAGAGTAGGAATGGCCGGTGGTGCTTTCCATTCCTGAGACGGAATTTGTAATGACAAAGACTGAGATCGAATCATCTTGAAACTTTTCTTCCTAGGAATTCATGGTATAAAATGTTAAATGAGCCTTGCTGTAAAACATTAAGTACTTTGCAAAGCAGATTACAGCAAAGAAAACATCTCCTAAGAAAGTTTACAAGATGAAATTTCTTACACCACATGGAAAATGTCGGTCACAACATAGTTTTCCTTTTGACACTTTGCATTATATTTTCTATGTACAATTGCAGTACAAATACAATATACCATAATTTATTTACTATCATTTACAAAACCACTAAGATTTGTTTTGTTTCACTTCTTACAAATTCAGTATCAGCAAGTCACTGTGCAGAAAGAAAGCATGGCTGCCTTACTTAAAATCGGAATTCAAAGCATGAGAGAAAGAAAGTGAATCTGACATCAGGTAAGTTGTTATACGTTATCACGCCATTACACAAAAGTTTTTATTCATCCCAAAAGTTTCAGGATTTAAAATCTCATCTACTTGTCCACCAACATTTCAGATATAATCATTCAGTTAAACGTGTAAGAAAAAAGACGAACAAATACAGTTATTCCATGGGTAGTGTTTGATGGGACTAAAAGCCTAACATTGCATATGAGAGTAATCACTTAGTACGGCTTTGATATGCGAGTCCATTCCTTCTCCTGAGGCAGTAAATGCATAACCCTCACAGACTTAAAAGCTTTTGCTCTCTCTCAGCAAACTGCAACAGATAAAACAGCTGAAGAAGCATGCTGCTTCTAGTTTTCAGTGAAGAAACTTGAGTGGAGGTCTGTATTATCTCTAAAGATGCAACTAATTTTCCTTTTTCAGCTTAAATACACATATAACAAAGAGATACGATATGTTAAACTGATGTACTTTCTTACATACTGTGGAAATACTATCTTCGTTCGTTTTATAAATTAGATTCTAACACTTTAAAATGTCAGTAAAAGCCACTAAGAAAGGAAAAGGCACATTGGAATTCCCTCTGGAAGCCGTGTGTTACCTCTGTGACATTCCACGTACACTGGTGGTATGAATAAGACCCTATGACCAAATTCCATCTCTGAAACTCGTATTAAATCCTTGAAAGGTAATGTTGATTCAGCTGCAACTGAAAGCAACAGAATCTTTACTCATGTAACTGTTCTCTAAGTACGCTTCAGTCCGGTAGGACAGGGACAAACACTTGTTCTGTTCCCATGCATAAGCAACACACATGTGATAGCCCATTTCCCACAGTTAGGTTTGTAGAGAACTTTAGGTACAGAAACACAGTTTGATGGAACCTATTTTTGTAAAGCAATTTCGGCACATTAAAAGTGAAACTTACTATTTCAGGAAGAAAAACAAACCAGAGAGGTGTCTGAATAACACCTAGATTTGGGAAACCCATTTGCACAACACAAAACCTAAGCCCATACCATCTGTGTATCATACCTTAATTCAATTAAACTAGCTCTTCTCCCTTCTCTTCCAGAAACATGATGCCAAGTGCTGCCCAACTGATGGTCTGAGCTAACAGGGTACACGTTTAGCTATCAGTTTAAAGCCCTCCTTGTTTGTGTGATGTCTGATGAATCTGTACACACCCAAGCCATTTGGTGTCAGACTGCTGCTGAGCTCATGTGACTCTTAACAAATAAGTCCAACCAGCCCACTAAAGACTAAGAGACTGGGACAGCCTGACACCCAGGTAAGGTTCTCTCTCTCAGAAGAAAATCATAAACCAAATCAAGTTTGGTTTACCCATTAATCTAATCAAGCCAAAGGTGAACACTGTATGTTGAACTAGGAAAATAAAACTAGCAAACTCAAAATGGGCACTTTTATGGCTGATAATGCTAGATTTTATCTCTGGCAGTTAAGGAAACCTACAAATAACCTCATTGTGCCAGCCTCAGTTTTTTGTTTCTCCCTTGATGTTAAACATCAAAACTTTACTTTCATCTATTTTTACAGAGCCTAAAAAGAAATTTCATACCACTGTCATTTTCTGTTCGTTAAAATTATCCATTTTCCTGAACAAAACTACTACATTTG